CCCCACAGGCACTCGAAAATATCAAGACATCATCGGCATATGCTAAATGGGACAGCAAAACCCCCTTCTACATCTAAAGTAAAGCTCCGGGCACTCTTGGTAGAGACGCTCTAAACCCCTCGATAGAAGATCTGCCGCAAGCACAAACAAAGTAGGCGACAACGGATCCCCCTGTCGGACCCCTCGGGAGGATTTAAAAAATCCCCAAAGATCTCCGTTAATCAAGACAGAGTAATAAGCATGCTCCACACAATGCATCACCAATGTAATGAACTCCTCTGCGAAACCGAACCTCAACAAGGCATGCCTCAAAAAACGCCAAGACACCCTATCATATGCCTTATTAAGGTCCATTTTAATAAGCACGTTATGTGACGTGCCTCTAAGGTTCAAGTCATGAACCATCTTGGATGCCATCAGTATATTAACCGCAATCGCGCGCCCCTTCACAAACCCACTCTGATGCAGTGAAAGTAGGAGCGGTAGCAAAGTCCCCAATCGTACCGTGAGCAACTTCGTGATGATCTTGTTGCTCACGTTGCACAAACTAATCGGCCTATAATCAGCCCAAGACTTCGGAGCATTTCTCTTCGGGATAAGAACGATAGTAGTGGCCGTATAAAACTTCGGGAGCGGGATCCCTGGAAAGAACTCCAAAACAACCGCTAACACGTCCCGACCAACAATATCCTAACAAGCCCTGTAAAAAGCCGTCGAGAATCCATTCGGACCTGCCACACTATCCGGATCTATCGAGAATACAGCCTCCCGAACCTCCGCCTATCTTTGCGGCGCCAACAGCTGCCGGTTCTCCTCTAGTGGAACCTGCGGCGGCACATCCGCCAAATCATCCATACCCGAGGTATCAACATCATCCGCCTCCCCAAAAATCGAGGCAAAATAAGCTATTTCCGATGCCTTGATGTCTGAGTGCTCCGTAAGCTCCCTATCCCCATCTCGCATGTAAAAGATAGACGCCCATCGGCGGCGCTCTCGGACCATCGAATGAAACATCCGGGAGTTCCTCTCCCCATCGACCGCACACCTACATGGGGCCTTCTGCCTCCAAAACGCCTCCTCCAACGCAATGCCATGTGTCAAAGCTATCACACTACGTTGTCGGCGTAAAAAAGTAGCCTCCGAAGGATCCCGATCATACTCGGCCTCACACTTTGCAGCCTCCCTCTCGGCCTCCGCCAAAATATGAAACACATCTCCAAAAACATGTCGATTCACCACCTCAATGACTGCTTGAGCCTCCCTAGCTTCAAGCGTAAGTTGAGAAGCCCCGACACTCCCATCGGAACCTCCCAACTCTCCCGAACTCTATCCATAAAAGAGTGATGACGAATCTACATACTCTGAAATCTAAACGCTGACGAAACCCGATGCCGTTTTTTTTTTTTTTTTTGTGCACTAGGTTGGTGTTACTGGCATATAGACTGTACACCCAAATATTCACAAATTTGAAATATTAAATTTTTCATTGTACACCAGTTGTACTTATGAGTAGCTATGATAACTTGTTGGTTTGAGTATTATTAATGTTGCTGCATGTAAAATTGCATGTTCCCAAGCAGTTACAGAAAGTTAGATTTCATCAACATAGGTCTTGAACTTAATTGAAGCCTCTTTATAAATAATTCTGCTAGACCATTTTGAGTATATAGATATGTTACATGATGTTCAATATTAATTCTAATTGACGTGAAATAATCATCAAATGTCTTGGTTGAAAATTCACTATCATTATCGAGACGAATTTTCTTTATTGAGTAATCAGGAAATTGTGCTTGTAATTAATTATTTGAGTAAACAACCTCGAAAATGCCAAATTGCAGGTGAATAATAAACATACATGCAGCCATTGAGTTTATATTGAAATGGTCAGCATGATACCCTGAATTTGTTTTAAAAATACTGGAGATTCAATTTCTACTTTTTTCTGGCAATGGTCTTGTTATTAATTTTCCTTTTGAGCAAGCAACACATTTCAACTCATTTATATTTAATACCCTTTTATTTTTTAAAGTATGGACATATGCATTTTCAATAATTCGTCTTATCATAATATTAATAGGATGCCAAGCCGATTGTACTAGATCATAAAACCTATACTTTTGGTCTATCAGATATATAATGCCCCAATTTTGGAGTGTATAAAATAATATTATTATATCAAATAAATATTTTGATAATATAATGAGATTAAGAAATTAATATCTTGATATAAATTTTATTCTAATTTTGTATGTCAATTATAATTGAAGATAAGTTTAAAAGAATAAATATAGATAAAGATGGTAAAGTATAAATATATACTCCCTCCGTCCGGCCCTAGGGATCTCATTTACCTTTTGCGTCATTGTACTTAACATTAAAAATATCATTATATTTATTTAATTTTTTTGTAATAATGTTATTATAATAATAATATTGTAAGATACTAATAAAAATATTTTTTTCTTTTTTTCCTTGATTTGTACGATATTTTCATATAATAATTAATATTCAAAGAGTAAAAAATAAATAAGACGCTTAAAAGTATAATATAATAATAAATAGGATAGTGATGGTCAATGATAATGATCACAATGATAATATATATAAATATATATATATATATATATGTGCATAGAAACAAACAAACCAAAGTCTTATATCGTGCAGAAGCACGAACGCGCCGGGAAAGAAAAAAAGAGAAGAAAGGAAAAAAAAAAAAAAAATTGGTTATCTGATTTTAATTTCGATTTTGGTATGGTGTTTCTGGTTGTAAGTAGAGTTTGATTAAAAAAAATTCATAAATTGGCTATTTAGTTGTTTAATTGACGAATTTTTTTAGCTAATAGCTTTATTGGAGTCATGTTTGTTTATATCTTTAAGAATTTATATTTAATAATCGGATGCTATAAGGATTATGAGGTATAAAAGTTTGAAATCCAACAAATTAGTTAAATAAATTAACTTTTGAATAAGTAGGTAGCTCCTATAAATAAATATGTACTTTGAATAAATAATAAGACAGGTGTACGTTGGGGACAATTCGATGTGAAATTGCAAACAAAAGAAAATTCAATAAAGAGGTGAGCAATAAGGAATTAAATATAATTTTAAAAAATTAGGTATGCATGTGCATATGATATTATGATTATGTTTATAATGTTATTGCGATATCATGTGGATATTTTTTTCAATGCATGTATATATATATATATGTGTGTACATATATATGTGTGAGACTTCACATTTTATGATATTTAATATACGTATTTGATTGTATTAGTGAATTTTTTAAAATGAGGATAGGTAAGCTGTCTCACCATCATTTTTCGGTAAATTTACTTATTTCACATGTTGCACACATATTGTACGGTTTATCGGATATGTTTTATGATCTATCGTTTAGTTGTTATGTGTGGTAGTGCTAGACGAGGGAACAATATTAGGATATTCGAACCCAATATACCATAACACTTTGGCGATAATGGACGATAGTTGTCGAACAACTGGATGACTTAGTCGCATGGTCATTCAAGGATTAGACATATTGTAGTTGAAAAATATTTGGTCTAGTCATTCATGTTAGGTGTTGTTCAACTCATTGGGCTAGCCACTGATGTGATCTATCGGTAGTTTAAGATCATATGTCAAACTCTAAACACGATCACGTTAGGGCGTGCGAGGAGGAGTAGAGTTTTTGGGTTTCCCTTAGATGATTCCAAGTTGCACATATTCTACTATATTATATGGTGTAGGGCTAGACAGGAGGGTCCTATATTTGCTATCATAGACTATAGGGTATCTTATGGTTAATGGCGACAACGTCAGCTATCCATGTATTGATTATGAGGATCGTATGATGAGTATATGATAGTGACCAGATGACCGTTATCTTAATATGGGTTTATCAGGTCTTCCATTTGAGGTGACGATTTTTGGCTATTTGTTAATAATGGTCTAGTGAGCCTATTATTATGATGCCAAGTTATTCCGACTGCTCACTTAGACATATATAGTGAGCATATTATTATGGGGCCGATGTTATTCCAGCTGCACATTTAGTTAGGTATATATTTGTATGTGCATGCTTTTTCGAGTTCGACAATACTGTTGCATTATTCCAATATTAACATAGCATGACATATTTTATGTTTGTTTTTAAAATAGATTTAATTCTAGATTGTTTTTTTAAAAAATATTTGCTTAAGGTATGCATGGTATCTCCAGACAAAGAATGTCGCAGGATATATGAAGATAGGTTGAGTGAGTGAATTTGTTAGTAAGAGATGACGACCTCATGATGCAGTGCGACGATGATATTTCCAGTATGAGCCAACTTGAGGTGTAGCAGTATGATACTATATTATTGATTTTCAAGATGATAACCATATAACATTTTGCATACCGCGGTATACCGTTAGCATAAAGAAGTTCACTGTATATTACTACTGATATTTAACAATCTTCAGTATATATAGATTTTACAGAGTGTATACCAAAATACCAAACATAATAAAATAACTATATATCAAAATTAAATAAAAAAATATTATATTTTTATTTTTATTTTTAATTATAATCGTTTTCAATATTTTAAGTTATTTTGTTTTTTGATATACAAATAATCTTGCATTATATCGTAATTTTAATATATTAATTTTTTATATTGTAAAACAATCAATAAGGTGTGCTGAAAAATTGGTACGGTATCAGAATACATTTTTTTTTTATAATGTAATTCACGGTAACACATTTAAGGTAGACCAAATTGTTCGGTATGAAAACTTTTGTACTATAATTCCGACTTAAGGTATATCGAATGGTTCGACATGGTATCAATATAGCCTTGTCTCATACCATTATTTAAGGTAAGGCATATGATATGACAGTAAAATTTCGGTATACGACCCTTACCGCAATTTTTTGTTCGAACAACTAGCAATACTACTTGGAACTTGTTTTGTTTGTTCACTTGTGTGTTCAATCAAATAAGAACGATATAGTGCAAAACCTTTTGTCTAAGGAACAAGTCATGTACATGTACAATCATATCACCATTAATTTACTACGCATATATATTACATATTACATTACATCAAACTTGGGAAATTAATTTAACAATCCATCTGTTAGCCAGTCTCTCATCAACACAAAAGCTTCCTCTGCATCTTCGTCTTCCTCCACACTCTGGGGCCTGTGAGCAAAACCGTGACCCCTCCCCTTGAAAACCACCATTTTTATCCATTCCTTATTCCTCTCTGATATCTCCTTCAGAGTCGAGACCGGGCAGAGTGCGTCGTTCTCCCCTGTAATTACCAACAGAGGCACCTTTACCTTGCTACCTGCATCAATGTCGATGTTGGTGCCATAGAAGGAAACTCCACACCCAAAGTATGCACCCTGGTCTTTGGCTAGGATGTCTACCACTCGACCACCACCATAGCAGAAACCTATGATCCCCAACTTCTTCGAAATCCCCACCGATTCGAATTCGTCCACCATCCATTTTGCTGATGCTGATATGGCTTCTGTTATGGCTTCTGCTTTCTGCTTACTAATCCATTGCTCAAGCAAACTACTTGGCCTGTCTTTGCTCCATGGATCTCCATTAAATAAATCAGGAACAATGACGCTGCATTTGCATCACCCATAACACAAATTAAAAGCACAGCAAAACCAGGATGATTGATTCAATTTCAATAGGATGTTATATGTTTTATGATGATGTGGGCTGGTTGATTACTTGTAGCCACCGCAGGCGACACGATATGCGAAATCTCTGGTGGAGGAGTCCTGGAAGCCGAAAATGTCGGACAAAAGTAGTATGCCGGTGGAATTGTTGTTCTTGACAGCCTTGAATAGGTAAGCTTCGATGCCATCTCCAATGATCAGTTCTGTCCCGTTCACTAATTCACACGCTTCCTCAGCGGTATTACCTAGGCTGTCTTCCTCCACTTCCACCTGACTGCAACGAACTCTCAACTTGTTGTTTTTGCACACTGTGGAAGACGACTGCAATCGGACATTCTGTCGATTCTGCACATCAACTACAAGGCTTGCAATCCAGGAACGTTGAAATAACAAGCCCCCAATGGCCTGCGGAGGTGAATCTCATCTCGAGTAAAAAGCATAGGGATGCAGAAATTAATTTCGACATAGAGAAATTAGAAACTTACAGGGAAGTAGTTAAGCCTGCAGACGCAGACGGAAGCCTGCAGATGCAGACGCTTGTGAATCAGCGGCGGAGATGACGAGAGAACATGAGCTGTGCCCAAATCCATTTTCTATGATGAGTCCACTCGATTCGATTCAATTCAATCCAAGTCTCCGGAAAGAAAGATATGAGAATCATCCACTCAGAAATATCCATATGGTTGGGGGCGACGACCAATAACTACTACATATCCACCCTCTGTTGATATTTGGGAGGCCAGGCCCACTACTACACTTCAAATTGAGACGGGGCCCACTGTGTGCTCATACTTCGTTGTCATGGCAAAGGTGTAAATGAGAAAATTATTACTGTTTGTGTCTATTTAAAATATGCTTAAAGTTTTTTAATTCCTATAAAAGAAAAGAAAAAAAAAATAATTACTATTTCAAAATAATTTTTTTAAAGACATTATAAGGGTAAATCTTAAATTTTTATAAGATTAGTATTTTAATTGTTAAATTAACAAAAATGTGAAGTCTACCAACCGTGATATATAAAATAATAGTGGATAAAGATTTAAAATATGATCAAATCTTATTATTAAATACGTTATAAACATATTTTTTGATGGACAAAATAATTAATATTATGTTTAGTTTTGTAACCTACACTACCACTAAGTCATTCGTGCCGGGATTTGCTTGCTCAACCTACAGTAACTCTGAGGGTAATTGGGAAGATTCTTTCAATAATAAAGGGGGAAATGTAATAGAAGTAATCAAAAGAACAATGGAACAGAGAAATTGATAGAGATGAGAACTCTGCAAATCAGAAAAATTGAATTATGTGGGAAAGCAAAACTGTGCGGTATATTGTACATGAGAATGATTTAAATACAAAATGGAAACCGCTAGCTAACAGATTTGTTAAGATTCTAACTAACTGACAACCTAACAAATTAACAGAATCACGTGAATACATCCATTGTCAATAGCTTCTGGAATCTTCTTTTTTAAAGAGGTGATAGTGCGCTCATTCATCACTCCCCCCTCAAGCGACGATGGGTCGGAAAGGACCAAATTGAGCTTGGATCGAGCTAAGGTGAAGGCGGAAGAGGATAAAACTTTGGTGAAGATATCAGCAAGTTGCTGAGAAGAAGGAACATGGATTGGAAGTGATTGCGCACAAAGTGACGATCAATGTCCACATGTTTGGTACGTTCGTGGTGGACTGGGTTCTTCACCATATGGATTGGCAGACATGTTGTCACAGTAAAGAGGAATGGGAAGCTTGTGGGGTATCTGAAAATCACGTAAGAGATAAATAATCCATAGCAATTCAGCAACAACAGTAGCAAGAGCCCGATATTTAGCTTCGGCTGAGGAACGAGCGACAGTGGCTTGCTTTTTTGTCTTCCATGAGACTAGGCATGGGCCTAAGAAGACACAATAACCAGTGAGAGAATGTCTTGAATCAAGGCAGCTAGCCCAATCTGCATCAGTGAAGGCGAGTAAAGTAAGAGAGCTAGCATAAGGAAATTCCAGTTTATGATGCATAAAGCCGTGGAGATATCGAAGCACTTTTAGGGCAGCCTTCCAATCCAATGCTCACTAGTCGGAGCTGACATGAATTGAGTCAGCTGCTGAACAACATAGCAGATATCAGGGCGTGTCATGGTGAGATATAGGAGACGGCCAACTAAGCGACATATAGGAGACGGCCAACTAAGCGACAATAGTTCTCAGGATTTGGGAAAGGATCACCGCTATTTTTCTGCAACTTAGAACCAGGAGCAACTGGAGTGGCAGAGGAGTTGCAATCTTGAAGGCTTGCTTCATTGAGAATATCTTCTAAGTAACGGTGTTGGGACACAGTGATTCCTCCATGAGTGTGAGTAATTTGCATACCAAGAAAACAGGGCCCAAATTATTTATAGTAAACATCTGATGCAAAAAATCATTGACAACTTCAATGGCTTGAGGATCATTCCCTGTAACAAAAATTTCGTCTACATAAAGGCTGTAAATGAGTTCTTAGAAGAGCAAGTGAAAAGGAAATTGTCATAGCAGGATTGAACATAACTGAAGGGAAGAAGTTTGGACTTGAATTCCTTGTACCATTGCCGTGGTGCTTGCTTCAAGCCATAAAGAGATTTCTTTAGTTTACAGACATGGCCATGTGGAATATTTCTTCCTTGTGCTGGCATCTTATATATGGTTTCATCAAGATATCCATGTAAGAAAGCATTATTAATATCCAGTTGATGAATAGTCCATCGATACAAGGAAGAGATGGCCAGAAGCACCCTTACTGTAACTGGTTTGGCCACCGGGGCAAAATATTCATTGTAGTCTTTACCTGGTATTTGTAGGTACCCTCGAGCAACCAATCGAACCTTGCATCGCCGAAAGCTCCCATCAGCATTACGTTTTACTAAAAAAATTCATCTACATGAAATAGGTTTTACACCTTGAGGTAAGGGGGTGATATCCCAGGTCTCATTGGAAGTGAGAGCATTGAGTTCTTCCTCCATAGCAGCCCTCCAGGCAGGATCTCTGTAAGCCTGTGCAAAGGATTTGGGCTCCTGCAAGTTGACATTAGAAACTATATGCCATGCATGCATGGGTGAGTGAGTAGACGCAGTAACATAATCTTGTAACCAGACTGGAGGTTTATGAGTTCGCCTTTGGGTAATGAGATGTGTCTGAAGAGTTTGAGATGAAGGAATAAAGGTATGAGGGGAGGCTATATCAGAGGATGAAGATTCAGAGGAGAAGGCATCAGGACTTGGTGCATTAGAAGGTGAAAATTCAGAGAGAGAGAAGTGGGGTAGGGTCTGAGATTTAGGTGTAGAGGTAATGGATTGCTCTGGTTGAGTAGATTTTGTGATATGTAAAGGATTTTTGAAGAGAGGTACGCATGTATCATAGGGTTGGTTATCAGATTCAATATAAGGTAATGGCTGAGATGGAGATAGAGCAGAATTAGTGGCAGGAGGGGAGGCAAATGGAAAAACAGTCTCATGAAATACAACATCTCTAGTTATAATCCGTTTATTGTTATCAAGATCAAAGAGCTTAAACCCTTTTTGGCAAGTTGGAAAACCAAGAAAGATGCATCTAATAGCACGAGAATCAAGTTTGCCTTTGAAAGGATAGGTATTAGTTGCATAACAAAAGCAACCAAACACTTTCGAGTTGGAATAGTCAAGCTCTTTATTGTAAAGTTTTTGAAATGGGGTGGACCAATTTAGAATGGAAGATGAAATTCTGTCAAATAGGTGGCATGCAAGACAGCTTCTCCCTAAAAATTTTTGGGAAGAGATGCTTGGAATAGAATGGCTCGAGTCAATTGAAGAAGGTGCTTGAGTTTTATTTCAGCTCTACCATTTTGTTGTGGTGTGTGGGGATATGAATGATGGTGAATAATGCCATGAGCTCGATATAGAGCTTGACATTGGTGATTAAGAAATTCAGCACCATTATCGGTTCTAATGCGCTTAATGGTAGTGTTGTACTGGTTTTTCACTAACAAAATGAATGTCTCAATGTGATGATGAAGTGTTTGTTTGTTTGGTAAGAGGTATGTCCAGGTAGTTCTAGAGTAGTCATCTACAATTGTTAAAAAGTAATGACAACCATTTAAGGTAGGAATCTTGTAAGGACCCCATGTGTCCATGTGTATCAATCCAAATAGAGAACAAGCAGTGGAAGAGCTTTTATTGAAAGGTAATCGAACTTGTTTGGCCTTATGACATGTATCACAAGGTTTACAAGACGATAAACTACACAAATTCAAGTGCTTAAAAGTATCAAAAGAAGTATGACCTAACCGACAATGCCACAACCAAGAGAGATTGGAGGCAGTAGATATTGAGTTGACATTGTGAGAAGGAAGATGAAGAATGTAGAGACTTCCTTCTAGTTTTCCAACAGCCAAAATTTGTTTAGAGCTCTGGTCCTGTATAGCACTATGTGAGGATATGAAGATCAAGTTAGAGATGTGTCATGTAATAAAGCACTGATAGATAGAAGGTTAAATTTTAAAGTAGGGATATAGTAAACATTATGCAAAGTGATTTTTGGGTGTAGCACAACCGAACCAGTTTGAGTAGCTGTAACATAAGTTCCATCAGGAAGCATTATTTTGGGCTTGTGTTTCAAATGGGTGATGGAGGTAAATAACGATGGATTTATGCATACATGACACGTAGCTCCGCTGTCCACAAGCCAAGAGTTATTATCCAAATGCACTGAACAAACAGTTAGAGGCATACCTGAATAATTAAGAACAGAGTTGGCAAATTCTGTTGGTGCAACAAATTGAGTCAGAGTCACATTGGCAGGATTGGAGTTCATCAATCTTTGCATCTCCACTTTCATAGACTTGATTAACTCAATAAGCTCAGAATCAGTGCCAAGAGGTTTACCAGAGATTTTATTATTTGTAATGGCAACAACAACTGTATCCTTTCTGCTACTTTCTTTGTACTAATCTGGAAAGCCATTAAGTTGGAAGCAAATCTCTTTATTGTGTCCTTTCTTTTTGTAGTATTCACATATCCGATTTCGTTTGTCAATTTGATATTTCCTCTTCTCAAGACATTTTTGAGTAGAATCCTTCGCAGCTGCCATGGCATTGTGCTCCGGTGAAACATGTATTTCACGTTATTTCTCAAATTGCATTAATAGAGAGTAGACTTTGCTCATATTTGGTAGAGGATCCATGAGCAGTATTTGTCCTCTTGTTGCATCATATGAATCATTCAGACCAGTGAGAAATTGAATTACCATATCTCTGTCTATCTTGGCCAGTGACTTTGTATGCATGCCACAGTTGCATATATTTCCACATATGCATTCAATATGAGGATCGACATTCATCCATTCTTCCCATAGCTCTTGCAGTTTGATTGCATACGTTGCAAGGGAGTCGCTGCCTTGCCGGAGAGAGTTGAGATCTCGTTTGAGTTGGAATATAAAAGAAGCATTGAATTGCCCAAATTTCTCTTTCAAACTTGCCCACAGACCACTTGCAGTTTGGATGAAGATGAATGCTCCTTGTAGCTCTACTGAAATGGAGTTAATAATCCATCCTCTAATAAGAGCATCTACCTCCATCCAAGTATCATAATCTGGAGAGGCAGGCTCTGGTTTTTCGAGTTTACCTGTGAGGAAGCCTGTCTTTCCTTTGACCATTAATGCATTCCAAACACGATGACTCCAGGTAAAGTAGTTATTGATTGTGAGAGGTGTTGAAGATAAAGTAAGGTGAGGTTGATCACCGCTTGTTAGCTGGAGTGCCTTAGGCAGAATATGTTGAGTAGCAGCATTCTTCTGAGCAGTAAGTGCTTAAGCTGCAAGCTGAGCAAGTGTCTCGGTGACTTCACGTGGTATTCTGATTTGGGTGCTGCTGGGTGTTTTTTATGAATCAGTATTCTCCATGAAGAGATGAGTGTCACTGCTCTGATACTGTGATAGAAGTAACCAAATGAACAATGGAACAGATAAATCGATATAGATGAGAATTCTGCAAATCACAAAAATTGAATTATGTGGGAAAGCAAAACTGTGTGGTATATTGTACATGAGAATGATTTAAATACAAAATGGAAACTGCTAGCTAACAGATTTGTTAAGACTCTAACTAACTGAGCTAATAACCTAACAAATTAAATTAACAAAATCACGCGACAGTCATCTATTGTCAATAGCTTTTGGAATCTTCTCTTTTGAAGAGGTGACAGTGGGCTCATTCATCAAAATAAAACACCCAAACATGAAGTTTATTTATTAAAATATGAATGAATCCCTCGCGCGCACATTCATTAACTCCGTGGCTTAAAAACACAATCGCCTGCATATGCATGTATACATTATGATAATTAATCAGATAATGTCTAATCAATCTCTAGCTCAGGGAGCCAGCAGCAGCAGCCTAATTAAACAAACTCCAAGGAAATACAATCATATGTATATATATAATTAATTGTATATATTTTACTAACTGAATCGAAGGTATATATGTGCGTGTGTAATTATTGAATTGAATGAGGTAGGTGCTTAATTGATTATAGTTCGGTGTGGGTGTGGGTGTGATGATCTGCTGCTGCTAACTTGTGGTGGTCTTGGGAAGATGAGGAAAGGCAGTCAGCTGAAGGCTGAACATAACCGTAGCCGAAGCCTGCAGCGGCGTGGCAGTATGTCTCCACAGAGCCGTCGCTGCTGCGTAAGTTGATGTTGTTGAGAACAATGTTGGTGCAGGGAACGCTGTCGCTGCATGCAAATTTCATTGCCTTCTGGCTTCTCGAATTCCCGGTTATGTTGCGGTACATGATTGAGCTTATTTCCACCGCCGAACTCTAAATACATAGTTGCATTGTCACATGATCCAATGAAATATTATTCAAATGAGTTATTAATTACTTAACTGACCTGATTTTGACAGGCAGTTGGAGAATCGCAGTAGAACTGGTCTATGATGATGGGGTTTGAGACATCATCCATCCTGACGTTCTGGTACCGGACCGACCTCACATGCCCAGACCCTCCCTACCAAACCAATATATTTTCAATAATTGGGAATGATAGAAAGACAGATGGATAATATGTGGAATAATAATACCTGCCAAGTCTTGATTCGAAGGCCATTGGTTGTACCTCTGAGGAACGCTTTTTCCAGCACCACTTTCTCAACTATGCCGATGGAGTTGTCCTTTCCCAGGCTTCCTATGCTGCATCCATATAATTAGTCAAATAAATAATTAATCAACAACAAACACACCCATTCAGATTCAGGTCTAAATCATTATGTATTGATTATCAAACAATTAATTATTCACTTTCGGAATTAGTAATGTGCTCCTGCTGTCTTTGCTTCAAAGCATGCTATACTAGGCTAATTTGAAAACTACTTGCTGCCGGCCTACCTACCTATATTTGTACTAACACCATGCAATTTACTTACAAGTACAACCAACCCATGCAAGCATGCATAGTTGTTATTTATGTTTTCACCTGATTCCATGGCCGGGCCCACAATATATGTTCTTCATCTTTATTCCATAGCTACCATTCACAATTGAGATGCAGTCATCTCCTGCACATGAAATAATATTACTTGAAAGACATGGAAATTATTTATTTACTTTAAGCTAAGCTAGCAAGCTAGGGAATTATATTAATAATAATAATAAAGAAATGAAATGAACCAGTTCCAATTTTGCAGGTCTGGAGAATGACATCAGTGGAGTCAGAAATATGGATGCCATCAGTGTTGGGACTGTCCTCAGGAGCTGAAACTTTAAGATTGATCAAACGCACTGAGTCGGACCGAGAAACAACAAAGTTCATCTGCTGCCCGTTTTGGATTGTGATGCCCTTCACCCTTATAGCTGAGCTCGAATCGATGGTCAATGCCTAATTCAATATTCATTACTTTACTTCTTTCTTGCCTAATTGATGAATTCAATTTATTTATAAGGTGGGAGAAGGAGGACCTCACCGTGGGAGCTCCTCTGCATGGCTGATCCATCCATGGACGACAACAGATCCCGCCATATATATATATAAAAGTGATCATTGTAGCAGGTTAGCAGCAACACACATTTATATGAGAATTAATAGATTATGTGTGTACGTACATTGGACTTGTTCTTCTTGCAAGATGCTGCCCACCATTTGTGACCCACCCCATCAATGACACCCTTTCCTTGGAAACGGGCATTGGTCAAATTGGTAAAGGTGAGCCAGTTGCGTGGATTCTTGGGGTCCCAATTCTTTGGCTCATCTGGTGCCACAATACCCCCATCGATCTACACGCACACTACACATATATAAATCTATATAGAAAAAGAAAAGATGTATGTGGGTAGATTGGTTTATACCTGGACAATCAACTTATCAGCACAAGGTCCTCTAAACCTGGTTGCATTGAGCAGATACCGACGCCCTTGAGGAACCAACAGAACTGATTTTGGTGTAGAACAAGCTTGTTTCCAAGCATTCACAAAGGCCTGTATGTATGTATGTATGTATTGGGGGGTTTATGATGAATGCATTATCTGTATTGTATTGTATTGTATTGTAATTTGTATAATACTAGTGTAATATATATATCTTGCTACCTGCGTATCATCGGATGCTCCGTCTCCAACAGCACCAAATGCATCCACATTCACAAGAACTCTGTTCCCACGCTCAACCCAGGACCTCCGACTCCAGCTGCAAGACCTCGCCTCCCATTCATCATCATCATCATCATCGTCGTCGTCGTCATCGTCATCGTCATCATCATCATAATCATCATCGTCGTCGTGATCATGGTGCCAGCTGTCTTCTGTTTGATCTCCATCGACTTTAAGGTCACCAGAGATCCCGCTGAATCTCATGTCATCAGAAGAATCTCCCGCGGCTGCTGCTGCTGCAATCCGAGCAACAAGGGAAAGAGCACAAACAATAATAAATATTAGTAACTTATTCATATTGTATATTGTGTAATCGATTGGATTGAGGTGATTCTGGTGGAAGAGGTGTGATAAACTTAATTAATTGATCACAAAACGTAATACGAGCAGTGAGTATATATATATATAAATATTATTTAGTGCATTATATTACACATACACAGATGCAGCTGAGGCTGAGGCTCCTAAAAGAGAAGAGAAGAGAAGAGAGAAGAGGGGATAATTGTGTGGGTGTGGGTGTGGCTTAGCTTGAAAGGACATGAAGGTGCAACATTTTTCAACACTACTTGAAGTGTAAGGGTATATATAAATTTGATGAATAACTTTGCTTTACTCCTCATCACTATATTATATATGTATGTATATATATGCACAATTGCATGATTCCAATTGATCTCTAATCTCTTAGCTACCAGCATTAACCTGACTTTGAGTTTCATCAAAACCAACCAACGAATATTATATGTATATGTAGAAAGGTTAATTATTTGGACCCTTGATCCTAATAACATGAGGTCCTCGTATGTGTAGTAATAACTTTTCCTTAAGATATATACTGGTTGGATTCCACCCAAACCACTGTTCCATCGACTTGTGATGTCTATTTACTATTATTAATATACTATTAATTATTATTTTTATTTAACCTGCCTAGGTAGAATATGTCTATTTTTAGCATGATTCTTGTTTATATATATTATTATCATATATATATACCGTGTATTATTATAAATGATTTTATGTTAATAATAAATAAATATTTCTATTTTTCTTATATTATTGTATTCTTTAGAAAATAATATATCGATTATAATTATATTAATATATTTTTAACATTAAATATAATTTACTTTTTAAATTCAAATATAAAAATCAACATTTTTTTAACATTATTAAATATATAATATTTACAATAAAAAAAACTATCCAAAAAAATTCAAATTTAAAATTCTTCAAATTAAAACCACGCAAGGATAAAACTCTAGTGGTTTTCTGAATTTGTTAAAAACTAATTTTAAAATTCCAAAAAATCTAACCGTGGTTTCTAAAAAGGTTGTCCATCTCCTTTAAATCTCACTAACTGGCATTATATTTTACAGGAATTGACTGTTATTCCCCTATTTATATTTTTAAATTTATTTTTATTTGTTTTAGATTTACTTTCCGTCTCTACTCCTCTTTCTTCTCTCTATGCACATAACTCCCATCTTCTTCTTCCTTCTTCTAATTTCTTATTATTTTTATAATAATTAATAATATATAATAATTTAAATTATAAATATATTATATTATTAACTATATATTTTTACTCTAATTCATTATCCAAATACACATCCATGAGGCCCGCAACAAATTGCCGCCATTTGACTGAGTACTCTGTTGACCGTGGTTTATTTTTGTGTCAAACCATCCTATCAGCCACGATCTCCTCGGCCACTTTTTCATATGTTGTCCGCATTCCCGAGGGTGCCCTTGTTGACTCGTTCTTGCTCGAGTCTTGAACATCTTCACGATATGGTTTTAATAGACTGACGTGGAATATGGGGTGGAGCTAGGGGCTCTGGAAGCTCGACCTTGTATGCCACCTCGCCAACCTTCTTCCACACCGGGAATGGGCCTTCATATGTCTGATACCACTTGTAACGGGTTAGATCGCAACAGGTTGTTCTCTCTGCTTTTTTTTTTTTTTTTTTTTTTTATTCTTCTTCCCTAATTATTTTCTTTATTCCTTCTTATTTTCTTCTCCCTTCTTCTCCTTCACAATAGCTACCACTGCACTTACTTCTTTTTGTATTTTCTTTTCCCCAATTTTTTCTTTATTCCTTTTGTTTCCCTCCTTCACCGTCAGCGGTTCAAAAAAAAATATAAATAATGATTGAACCGCCGGTTCAAACCTTAGCAGTTTGGCAAATCCCGAAATCGAACCGTCGGAACCATTTCCAGTTTGAATCCTGATTTGAACGGACTTTTTGGAACCGGGTAGAGAAGTTCTTTGAGATTGATTTCTTATATTTTTGGGTTGGGTTGGGTGAAAAGGGAAGAAAAAATCGGTGAGCAAAATGTGAGCAATTACCTACGGCATTCTTGTTTCCATCTTCGTTCAATCCATTAATTGCGTTCTAAATAGATTTAAGTTTGATTTTCCCCAATTTTTTGGCCGTTCTAAAAGCATAATTTTTTGATGGAATGAAAAAATTGAATTTACGAGAGATTAGTTTCTAACTTGTAGAAGAGAAAAAAATAAAAAAAACTTGCAAAAGAATATGGAGAAAGAAGCCGGGGAAATAAGGTGAGTTCTAAAACAATATCTTTCTGATGGAATGAAAATTTTAAATTTGTGAGATATATCATTTTACAAAAAATCGCAAAGAGTCATTTCTATTATTTATGCTTTCTTTGTTATATCCAAAATTTCGCTTCTTGGCGGCTAATGTGTGTTAGGCCTATCGGAAGGATAAAAAAAGGGTAGATTCTCGACTAAAAAACATCTATGAGTTAGTCTTGCATAAGATGGATAGGTGAACAAAAATTAATATAAATAAAATAAACCTAATAAGGCCAAAAAGACAAATAGAAATTAGAGAAATTCAACACAAATGAGAGGAATATAAAAAATAGCAAATTATATAATTTCTCCTTGTATTTTACTAAAATGTGTAAAACATTCAATGTTTTATTTATTATTTGAAACCCTTTGTATTAATATAAAATTTGCACGAAATACTCTTTTCGTCCAAAATTGATATTTGATTGTAAATATGAACTCAATAACACAAGTTTTTATAAAAATAAAAGAAACAATATATCTTAAATAATTTTTTTAATAAAATAAATAAATAAATAATTGATTAATCCTTCGTTTTATAATTTTTTAGAGATAAATTGTTATTTTAGTTTTAAAAAATTATAAAAATAAATGATTGATCAATTATTTATTTATTTATTTTATTCAAAAAAATTATTTATGATATTTTAAGTTTTTTATTTATATAAAACTGTAATTTAGATCTTTATTTAGCATCAAACATCAGATTTGGACAAAAAGTATTTCGTACAAATTTTATATTAACAAAATGAGGTTTCACGCAATAAATAAAATATATCAATAAATAAAATAAGGAGTATTTTGTGCATTTTTACTAAAAACACAAGAAGTGTTATATAATTTACTCTCTCTATATATATATATAAGATAAATTTGCATTGAATTAAAGAAAGAAAAGAAAAATACATTGCATAAAAAATAAAAATAAAATAAAATAAGGGAAATTTGCAAAAAATGTCCTGAGTATAAGTCCAATTATCATTTTTGAACATTATTTTCTAATTTCGCAATTTAGAACATTATATGTACTCCGGACATTATTTTTGTTATCCGGCGCCGGAAAAACGCACATGACAGTCACGTGCGCCTTCGTGGCATGACCGGCGCATACGTAGACGTCGCCATTGCATTGCTGTCGTCCGTGTGTTGTTGGACAGGTGATGTGGAATTATTTTTTTTCACTTTCGAAATTTAGGACATTATGTGTACTTCGGGTATTATTTTTGTCCTTCGGCGTTGGAAAAAAATTTGTTCTTGGTTTTTTCTTTTATTTCAATTTGGTCCAATTGGATCAAATTGCAAATATGTTATTTGTAATTTAGTCCAATTGGGACAAATTAAAATTTTTAAAAATTAAATAAAAAATTAATTCCATGTCACATGTGTGATGATCCTAGTACAAATTAAGTTTTGGAATCAGGGGACAAAAATAATACTTTAAGAACACATAATGTCCTAAATTTCGAAAATGAAAAACAAAAAAATTCAACGTCACATGTCCAACGACCACGCAGGCGACAACACAGCAACGACGACGTCCACGTATGCACCGGTCATGCCACGAAGACACATGTGACGGTCACGTGCGTTTTTCCGGCACCAGAGGGCAAAAATAATGTTCTAAATTGCGACAAAGGAAAAAAAATGTTCGAAAATGATCATTGGGCCCATATACAGAACATTTTTTTTTTGCAATTTTCCCTAAAAACAAATGATAGAAAAAGGATAAGTTTGTCGTGTCTATCTTAGTCGTCCTCTCCCTCGGGCAAATTGTCATCTCTATAAAACTCCATCTTCTTCTTATTTTAATTATGCCAATTAAGCTCCCATTACTTCATCATTATGTCCTTCATCAAAACTTCATTAATCTCCTTTGTAATTTTCTTATTTAGTGAATCATTGATTCTCACATGCAATCTACCCCTTCATTAAATATTGTCAAAACTCGTAAAACTCCATTTATCCTCTTAATATTTATCATAAAACCTCCTTATTTATTAATGCTCACCGTAAAATTTCTTTATGCTTCCATTAATGACACATTCCTTACCATGTATCTTTTCATATCTTGGCGTTCCTAGGCTTAGGCTTCCAAAGTTCTTGGACCAAACACATTTTTCTTGTTCCTTTCATTTGGGTTATTTTGGAGCTTTTCCTTTAAAGCCTTGAGTTTTATTATCCAAATAAGGCCAAGTATCAATTCAACTCAAGGAGGATTCATTTTATAGACTTGCATTGGGCTCTCCTTGCTTCCTTGGCCAAGTCCTCCATCGATATGGCCTTCCGTCCATCAAATCTTCCATCAATTGGGCCTTCCATCCATCCAATTTTGATTCCTCTAAAATCTACTTGATTCCTCTCCGGTTCCTCTGACATCGGATCGAATCCTTTGGCAAATGATAACACTTTAGGAGCATGCACTTGGTGTTCTTTCATAATTGAAAAGTATTCTTCAATTTTCTAGTAGGTTGGTTGCTATTTTTTAAAAACCATAAATATAATCCTAAATTCTTTGGTATCCAATGTGGGCCATGTTCATCAATTAAATTGTTAGTCTGTATTATATATTGAAAATCAAGATAAAAAATCAAAATAAGATTAGATAAGAATCGAATTACAGTCTCGTGTTAAACGCAAATTCCTTAAATGAAGTTCGACCTGCTACTGATCACTCCTCAGTTTAATTGCAACAAATTTTATTTTATCTCATAATTGATTTTAATCGGCCAATTATAAAAATAATCTTATATATATATATCACAAGTCCAAGTATGTAAGCTCAAGCCAATACTTCTTATGAAAAATACTTCTCT